AAGAAATGGGTAACCCCCCCCCCCAATATATATCTATATATACAGTGGGGCTTTGACTTAAGAGTGTCCCCACTAACGAGTTTTTTGAGGACCAGCTGTCTCTCGGCCGATGTTTTGCAATGAGTTGATAGAGTAATCTGAGTTAACGAGCTCCTTAACGAACTCGGTCTCCAAACGAATTAAACTCGTAAGTCAAGGCCCCACTGTATATCGACAAAAAATGGATACCCTGGCCCGGCCGGTGTGGCTCAGTGGTTGAGCACCCACCCAAGAACCAGGAGGTCAGGGCTCCACTCCCCGTCAGGGCGCAGGCCCGGGTGGCAGGCTCCGTCCCCACAGGTCGGGGGCGTGCAAGAGGCAGCCGGTCCGTGATTCTCCCTCGTCCCTGTCTCTCTGTCTCTAAAAGCCAACACAAACATCTTAAAAATCAATCAGTAACAAGGGTGTGAGCTCCGAGCCACTGAGGACGGAGCAGGAGGCCACGGGGTCCAGGCCAGGCACCCGGTTCCCAACCCGGGAAGCTAAACAGGCGGCAGGAAGGCTCCCCAACAGCCAGCTCCACCTGCTCATTAGGCCCCCGCCCCGGCTCGCAGGTGGCTCTGTGGATAGAGAGTTGGCCTGAGCACCAAGGGGGTCAGGGTTCAATTCCCGGTCAAGGGCATGTGCCCGGGTGGCGGGCTCCATCCCCGGGGGCGGGGGGGCGTGCAGGAGGCAGCCGATCGATGATTCTCTCTCATCATAGATGCTCCTCTCTCTCTTCCTCTCCCTTCCTCGCTGGCATCAATATGAACATACATTTTAAAAAATAGGATAAGAAGGTGCCCTGGCCGGTGTGGCTCAGTGGATGGAGCGTCGGCCTGCGGACTGAAGGGTCCCGGGCTCAATTCCGGTCAAGGGCGTGTACCTTGGTTTTGGGCACATCCCCGGTGGCGGGTGGGCAGGAGGCAGCTGATGGATGTTTCTCTCTCATCATTGATGTTTCTATCTCCCTCTCCCTCTCCCTTCCTCTCTCTCTAAATAAAAACGTATCTTGAAAAAAAAAGAAAGTACTGGTGCTGCCAATTCAGCATCAGAGTACAGAGGAAAAGAC